TTAGTCTTGTCATGCTTGCGATTGTGTAAAAGTGTAGCATCACTGATGCTTATTCACTGTGACAGAAGGCTTGCATGCATCGGCTTCAATGTAGATTGCCTTTCTTTATGAAATGTAACATACAGATTCACAAAAAGGATAAAGCCATGAATCTATATTTACATGGAAAAACACCACAGACTCAAGAACCTTGACCTCTTCAACACACTTAGCCATGGCTTTAGAAGACCCAGAAACACAAGTCATAAATAAGTCGTATTAACTAATTCTGTCTTTTTGGAGCTTTCCATTTACATTTGTTGTACGAAAACAACAGCTAAATATCTAATTTTGTGTAAGGCTGAGTGAATGATGAAAAAATAATTTTTGGTTGAACTATTTCTTTAATATACTGTACATTGACATTCTGTGACAATATGCCCCACAGCGGGCTATTAGGAATAGGGCAAACTACTATGATTTTTTAAATTTTTTATTAAAGTAGCATACAATGACTTCATAAAACATACCTTTCCATTCATCTATATAGTTTCCAAACTGTAAGCCAGACAGGATTTAACCTTGCCGTATTAAATCGTAAGTTTGCATTGAAGGTGAAAAAATTTAAAAAGCACAATGCTCTCTTACCAGTCCTAATTCTAACACAAACCCACAGTGTTCAGAGTAGTTATGCAGTTATCAGAGCAGAAACGAAAGCAGCTGCATTTCTTATCTTCCATAGTCTCTTTTTGCTTTCAAATATAAATTACATGAGCTTATTACACAATATTAGATTGAAAGGTCAGAAAAAGCCCCACCCATAGACCTCCCCTCAAAGAAAGCATGTAAGTGGTCAAAAGTGAACAAAAGAGGTGATGGAAAATGTGTCTCCATCACCTTCTTGTGATCCCATCGACCAAAACCATCTCAGCTATGTTTATATAGATTGATTATATCTTGCATATTATAAATCCTGAATTATATTCTGTATCTTCCAGTGTTGGTTTCTGCAGTCCTGAAGAAAAACATTCTTTTCATACTTTCCTGTCTGATCAGCGCTGATCTCCAGACAGCGTTTGGTTTCTCTGTTCTGTATAGCCTGTCCCTGAAAACAAACAAGAATAAGCATTTTTCCAAGCAATGCTTAGATTGTAATATACCACAGCACCCTATCAATGTTTGGGGTGTAATTATTTGTTCACCTGTTTGAAGTCCCAATACATGTGCTTTTGTTTTTCAGTGTCTGAACACCAGGACAGCTCTGGAAACCTGCCTGAGCCGGGATCAATTAGACAGCGGTTCCTATTGTTTTTCAAAGGGAGATTCGCAAATATCTCACCACTTGCTGTATAGTAAAATATCTGTGATGAGAAACGGGAGTGTGTCAAATATTCCCCAAAATACAGTTTGAAAATGCAGAGAAGGGAGAGGAGGGGAGGGAAGAGATTACCTGTGATTCCATGAAATGACATGGATATAAAATGGGAGTGTTCTCCTCAAATGGTCCTTTATCCAAACATAAACGTGTTTGCAGATCATTAATCAGCTGTTTTGATAGAGAGGACATCATATTAAATTGTCAAATCCTTCATAATTTTTCCTGTACAACTGATCTCTCAAGACTATCTTGTTTCATAGTGAACCGTATGCCACTCACCACTCCATAACCTAATAAATGCATGGGATTTAACTCAGGATAGACATTTTCCAGATACCATTTAAATGGTTTGCAATGTAGCTTTTCTCTCAGTTTCTTTCTCTCCGATACATCGCCAATGTCTATCCCATGGTTCTGTGGAAACAGGAGAGAACAGATACACATGATCATTTGCAGATCATAAATCTAGAGGATTTCAAACCTCGAACCCTGTAGTCACACATCTTTGTTCACTTTTTCAATCTTTTAATTAGATCTACCTGTATAGGAAGACCCCAGGCGATGTTCACATTTATTTTGTATTCATCCATCCAAACTTCTGCCACTCTGAGGGCATTTCTCTTCATTACATTGCTAATATCAGACACGTAGGGTTTGTGTGCCCTCTCGATGTGAGCAATTTTAGAGCAGGGTACAATCTCTATACTTCCTCCACACAGCCACACCTGAACCAAAACACATGAAAGAAAAACTCAAACCGTATGCACTATGGGTACCATGTAAATACAGTATAATATATAAAGTTTAATATAAAACAATAATTTAAGAGAATGCTCAATGTGATTTTACGTGCATGTGAATTACCCGTATTCCTAATTCAACATTCTCTCCTCCGTACACCTCCATCCCTCCATCCAGAGTCCCAATCTCACCGAAGAACAGACGATCAACCACGAGTATTCCCATCACAGAGGGACTCCTGGAGAACAGGAAGAGGACGGATCTGTTACACTCTGATCAGAGCAGAATTTAATAACATCACATCCACACCATGACAGCCAATGTGAAAGAATATTGAGAACAATATTCACATTAATTCACTTATATCTTAGACGCAATATTACACAACACACACTCACTTTCCAGGCTGTGAAGGATCGTTTTGATCGTACCACTTCTGTGGGAATCCCACGTACATGCACCAGAGAGCCCAGTCAAAACCATGAGCATAGATGGGATACTTTGTCACTTGCAAGTCATAGTAATTGACTCTATCAAACACGGGGCTCAGGACCAGTGTACGGTCAGCCTGGATACGTGCAAGCAAAGGCTCTGCCCTAAAAGAGAAAGAGCATTTGAGAAAATGTGATTTCATAAATTATTCTGTCATTGTGTTCATTTGTCTACGTCTGTGGTGAATGTTCACACCAGTGTTAACTAAAACTAAATATTATTTGTACTATTTGCAATAAAATATGAATAAACACTTTAATCATTTATAAATAATACTAAAGTAACACTGCTTCACAATATTGTTTTAAGATAGAGAATTCCATCTAGGTGAGCAAATATTTCATTTATTGCCAAATACTGAATTTAGCTGAGCAGTTTCACACCATTTGACATGGACCTCAATGTGGGCATCCAAAATGGCAACCACATCCCCAGTGGCAGCCTTCCACCCTGATATTCTGGCCTGGGAAAGTCCTTTCTGCTCTGAATGGGTCACCAACTTTACCAGGCCTGGGTGCTTCTCATTGATGGAAGTGATATAAACATGCAGCTGTGTTTTCAGATCTTCTGTGGAACAGATATATCCAGAATTAATAACTCATTTTGAGAACAATATGCCTCTGAGACAAGGGTTGGATGGCATTTTTTGAGAGAAACAAACCATGTGTGCTGTGGTCGTCCACCAGTATGATCTCTTTGAGCAGGTGGGCTGGAGTTCTGTTGATGATGCTGCAAATGGCTCTTTGAATGACAGACAAAGCCTCATCCAGATAAATCAGCACCACGCTGAGGGTGGGCAGATTGTGGGGGTATTCACGGCTAATGCATCTACAGAAATGGATGAATGCATCAAGATGGATGTTGAATTTTTAGAGTGTTTCCAAAAACCGCAGGAACTCACCTGTGGTCTCGAGTGTCCAGCAGCTCCCGGTCCAGAGGCAACTGGTCACTGAGGAAGGCATTATAACCGTATTTCTGAAAGAGATCCTCAGCCTTCCTCTGGTCATCCTCAGAAAGTTCAACAGTCCATTGCTTGAAGAGGTATGAGTTTGGGAACAACTTCTTTGCTGGCTTCTCATGTATCACTTTGGGGCTTCTCTCTTCTGCAAGAATTTGTGTTCATCAAGTATTTAAATCTAAAACAACACTGAAGCAAAACTTACATTAGTAACTCACCCACTGCATTTAAATGAGCCTCCAGTTTGTCCAGCTTGTTGAACAGAAGTGCGCTGTGTAACGAGAAGTTCTGCTGGACTTGGTGGAGCTGCTTCTGAGTTTGAATTTCCCTCCTCATCAAACTCATATAGAGAAACACCACAGCGACAGACAAGACTGGAAACAAACTCTTCACACAGCTTATTCTCATGATTTGAACACTCTAGTGTGGCTATCATCACAGAGTGCTTTTATTTTTGTAGTAATGGTCTGATGAAAGGTGATTATCTTCCGCTATTTACAGTTATTCTGTCATATTAGTCTTGTCATGCTTGCGATTGTGTAAAAGTGTAGCAACACTGATGCTTATTCACTGTGACAGAAGGCTTGCATGCATCGGCTTCAATGTAGATTGCCTTTCTTTATGAAATGTAACATACAGATTCACAAAAAGGATAAAGCCATGAATCTATATTTACATGGAAAAACACCACAGACTCAAGAACCTTGACCTCTTCATCACACTTAGCAATCATATGGCTTTAGAAGACCCAGAAACACAAGTCATAAATAAGTCGTATGAACTAATTCTGTCTTTTTGGAGCTTTCCATTTACATTTGTTGTACGAAAACAACAGCTAAATATCAAATTTTGTGTAAGGCTGAGTGAATGATGAAAGAATAATTTTTGGTTGAACTATTTCTTTAATATACTGTACATTGATATTCGGTGACAATATGCCCCACAGCGGGCTATTAGGAATAGGGCAAACTACTATGATTTAAAAAAAAATGTATTAAAGTAGCATACAATGACTTCATAAAACATAAATTTCCATTCATCTATATAGTTTCCAAACTGTAAGCCAGACAGGATTTAACCTTGCTGTATTAAATCGTAAGTTTGCGTTGAAGGTGAAAAAAATGAAAAAGCACAATGCTCTCTTACCAGTCCTAATTCTAACACAAACCCACAGTGTTCAGAGTAGTTATGCAGTTATCAGAGCAGAAACGAAAGCAGCTGCTTTTCTTATCTTCCATAGTCTCTTTTTGCTTTCATATATAAATTACATGAGCTTATTACACAATATTAGATTGAAAGGTCAGAAAAAGCCCCACCCATAGACCTCCCCTCAAAGAAAGCATGTAAGTGGTCAAAAGAGGTGATGGAAAATGTGTATCCATCACCATCTTGTGATCCCATCGACCAAAACCATCTCAGCTACGTTTATATAAATTGATTATATCTTGCATTTTATAAATCCTGAATTATATTCTGTATCTTCCAGTGTTGGTTTCTGCAGTCCTGAAGAAAAACATTCTTTTCATACTTTCCTGTCTGATCAGCGCTGATCTCCAGACAGCGTTTGGTTTCTCTGTTCTGTATAGCCTGTCCCTGAAAACAAACAAGAATAAGCATTTTTCCAAGCAATGCTTAGATTGTAATATACCACAGCACCCTATCAATATTTGGGGTGTAATTATTTGTTCACCTGTTTGAAGTCCCAATACATGTGCTTTTGTTTTTCAGTGTCTGAACACCAGGACAGCTCTGGAAACCTGCCTGAGCCGGGATCAATTAGACAGCGGTTCCTATTGTTTTTCAAAGGGAGATTCGCAAATATCTCACCACTTGCTGTATAGTAAAATATCTGTGATGAGAAACGGAAGTGTGTCAAATATTCCCCAAAATACAGTTTGAAAATGCAGAGAAGGGAGGGGAGGAGAGAGATTACTTGTGATTCCATGAAATGACAAGGATATAAAATGGGAGTGTTCTCCTCAAATGGTCCTTTATCCAAACATAAACGTGTTTGCAGATCATTAATCAGCTGTTTTGATAGAGAGGACATCATATTAAATTGTCAAATCCTTCATAATTTTTCCTGTACAACTGATCTCTCAAGACTATCTTGTTTCATAGTGAACCGTATGCCACTCACCACTCCATAACCTAATAAATGCATGGGATTTAACTCAGGATAGACATTTTCCAGATACCATTTAAATGGTTTGCAATGTAGCTTTTCTCTCAGTTTCTTTCTCTCCGATACATCGCCAATGTCTATCCCATGGTTCTGTGGAAACAGGAGAGAACAGATACACATGATCATTTGCAGATCATAAATCTAGAGGATTTCAAACCTCGAACCCTGTAGTCACACATCTTTGTTCACTTTTTCAATCTTTTAATTAGATCTACCTGTATAGGAAGACCCCAGGCGATGTTCACATTTATTTTGTATTCATCCATCCAAACTTCTGCCACTCTGAGGGCATTTCTCTTCATTACATTTCTAAGATCGGGCATGTAGGGTTTGTGTGCCCTCTCGATGTGAGCAATTTTAGAGCAGGGTACAATCTCTATACTTCCTCCACACAGCCACACCTGAACCAAAACACATGAAAGAAAAACTCAAACCGTGTGCACTATGGGTACCATGTAAGTACAGTATAATATATAAAGTTTAATATAAAACATTAATTTAAGAGAATGCTCAATGTGATTTTACGTGCATGTGAATTACCCGTATTCCTAATTCAACATTCTCTCCTCCGTACACCTCCATCCCTCCATCCAGAGTCCCAATCTCACCGAAGAACAGACGATCAACCACGAGTATTCCCATCACAGAGGGACTCCTGGAGAACAGGAAGAGGACGGATCTGTTACACTCTGATCAGAGCAGAATTTAATAACATCACATCCACACCATGACAGCCAATGTGAAAGAATATTGAGAACAATATTCACATTAATTCACTTATATCTTAGACGCAATATTACACAACACACACTCACTTTCCAGGCTGTGAAGAATCGTTTTGATCGTACCACTTCTGTGGGAATCCCACGTATATGCACCAGAGAGCCCAGTCAAATCCATGAGCAGAGGCTAAATACTTTGTCACTTGCAAGTCATAGTAATTGACACTATCAAACACGGGGCTCAGGACCAGCGTACGTTCAGCCTGGATACGTGCAAGCAGAGGCTCTGCCCTAAAAGAGAAAGAGCACTTGAGAAAATGTGATTCAATAAATTATTCTGTCATTGTGTTCATTTGTCTACGTCTGTGGTGAATGTTCACACCAGTGTTAACTAAAACTAAATATTATTTGTACTATTTGCAATAAAATATGAATAAACACTGCTGGAGTTCTGTTGATGATGCTGCAAATGGCTCTTTGAATGACAGACAAAGCCTCATCCAGATAAATCAGCACCACGCTGAGGGTGGGCAGATTGTGGGGGTATTCACGGCCAATGCATCTACAGAAATGGATGAATGCATCAAGATGGTTGAATTTTTTGAGTGTTTCCAAAAACCGCTGGAACTCACCTGTGGTCTCGAGTGTCCGGCAGCTCCCGGTCCAGAGGCAACTGGTCACTGAGGAAGGCATTATAACCGTATTTCTGAAAGAGATCCTCAGCCTTCCTCTGGTCATCCTCAGAAAGTTCAACAGTCCATTGCTTGAAGAGGTATGAGTTTGGGAACAACTTCTTTGCTGGTTTCTTCTCATTTTTCTCTTTAAGGCTGTTCTCTTCTGCAATTTTTTTTTTAAATTTTAGTTCACTAAAATTGGTTAGAATCTTTAATTCCGGTATACCAGCAAAAGACATTCACAAATTTCTGTTGGTGTATCTATTTAAAAATTGGTTGTCTATAATCACTTTAAATTACATTGATATAAACCCAAAATGTTGCTTCAAAATTGTGCTAAATAATATTGTGATATTAACATTTATTATTATAAATAATATTGTGCATGTACATGAAAACTGTGCACTGACTCAAAAAAAGTTGCATTCAGTACTTTTGAAAAATATTTTTAAAAAGGGAGCGGAGTCAAATTAGCAGCGTTTCCTCATGGGGGCAGACAGTTGAAAAAATACTCACTTTATCTTAGTAATCCTCCTGCTATCTGGCCGTTTATTAAAAATCACTGACTGCGAATAGTGTTCAACAACTGCATCAAGTTATGACATTTTTAAGATTACAATAAGAAAAATTAAAAATGGCAAAAGGCCGTTTATATATATATATATATATATATATATATATATATAATATACATATAAATGCATTTATTTCTTCTGTGGAACACAAAAGAACCTATTTTGTAAGTAGTGTCAATTTTGATTTCATGCCACCTTTAAATGCTTAGAGAAACACCAGCTAAACAGAAAGAACTAAACAGATACTAGTAACTCACCCACGGCTATTAAATGAGCCTCCAGTTTGTCCAACTTGTTGAGCAGAAGTGCGCTGTGTAACGAGAAGTTCTGCTGGACTTGGTGGAGCTGCTTCTCTTGAGTTTGGATTTCCCACTTGACAGAGCTCATATAGAGAAACACCACAGCGACAGACAAGACTGGAAACAAACTCTTCACACAGCTTATTCTCATGATGATCAGAACAGCAAAGATCACAGTTCTGAAAGATTTTCTAGATGTTTTCCTTCTTCAGGTATCAGTTATTCTGTGAGGCTGTCACTGGTCCATGTTTTATGGTTACAGTTTTGTGACTCTAGTGTATGCTGTCTGATGTTTATCACTTAATCTTTATGATTCATACTAGACTGGGAGGGAGGAAAGCAGGACACTGAATCCTGGTAGAGGTGGAAGAATTAAACATTAGGTACAGCTTTTCACTTTTAAAAATATCAATCATATCATTCATAAAATCATTCAGTGAAAGAAACCAGGCAGGCACCACAGTCCATCAACACTTATTGAACATAAACAAAAACAGGTCTATAGATTTTCGACTGCAGGCTGAATAGAACTATACAAATTATCAATTAAAAATAGACTTGCTAAAATACACTGTAAAAAA